TCAACACCGGGCCTTTTAAAAATTTGGGAAATATATAAAGGAATCCTTGGAGGGTTGGGGATGAATACTAACACGCGCATCGTGGAATTTCAAGTTTTGTTGTCGAATAGATGCTCATTGTCATTTGCAAATAGCTCTTCTTGATTTCTTCCTTCGTCTTGTGCATATTAATTTTAGTTGTATGAAACAAAGAGCGCTTGGCTTCTGGAGGAGTTCCCAGCGACAGCGTCATATCCCATGTCATATTAGCAATAGTTATATTCACAATTATTATATTTCTCAGGATGCCATTTTTTGCGGGGTTCGTAGATGGTTTGTTAGGAGTCTGGGGCCGTTGATCGTCAACTAACCAGAATCGGTCTCGATTGTCCACTTAGGAACATCTCCACCGAAGTTATCCACCTAGGAAACCAACTTCAATTCTGGCGTCACCACCGTCATTGGTACGCCTACCATTGCTTTTTGGTAGATGAGTGCTGCAGAGACCTGGGAAATATTAACGACCGAGTAGCTGTCAATGAGGTCTGGACATCCGCCTGTGCCCAACCTGCTCCCGATGAATTTCCAAACATTTACCTCAACTCTGAAAATTCTGTCGCTAACTTTTTTCATTCAGGCCCGGATTTTCAGGCTTCGAGTCACTCTTCTTGACGGACTGCTCCACAATCCAAAGGCCGCCGTTGTGGGGCAAGAACATCAGTTTCAAATGAGCATCGAGCTTAGACTGTTGAGGCGTGTTTCAACGCGGTTTAGCCCCGCCAGGATCCTGGGAAGCTGCGATGCCTGCAATGCCTGGGGCGTTTGATCCTAGTGCAATTTGCGTGTCCTCGCTGAAAGTTGTGAAATCGGCTATCTCGACCCTGCTTCAATATGAAGGTGTACCAACCGCCTTTTCCAGACCCCCTCACTCCATGGTTTTATGCAGACGATACCCTGCAGGAGTCCCCCGGGTGTATCACGTTTTACACCGTATGCTTGAAGTGGAATAATAGGATATAATTCCACGCGGGACCAAGCTGTGATACAAGGCAGCGACTGTGAAGAGTCTTTGTCAAGAAAACCTACTTGTAACATCGACAATCGATATCTTGTGAGGCGAGATTAACTCTTAGTTTCCCTTGCATTCCTACTCCGTAGGGTGTACTGAGACTGGTTCCTTGGCTCTGACAATGCAGAAATTGACTACCACTGTCTTGAACCTAAATTTAGACACGAGAGGCTCCGTCAATACCCCTTCTGGAAATTCCGAGTTTTCGATCTCTGTAATCTTTCTTGGCTACCTCGACATTTTCGACCCGAGGGTTCTGAGCTAGCTAGATAATATCACTATGCTTGTTACAGGAATAATTAACAGAACAAGTTGTTAAATTAAGCATGGGGAGTAGAAGGCTTAAACTCAAACTGAGCTGCGGGAGTGGACACGACGGGCCTAGTTTGCAATCTGTCGATCACGCCTTTGTTTGATGCCTCGCTCTAGCTTTGGCTAGCCTGGAATCTTGACGCGACGTGCGCTATAATCTCAGCCATTCAGGAGCTGGCGGGGACTAATTAGCCGTTACAGTCTCGAGGAATTAAAATGATCAGGGAGCATGGAACAGAGCCACTGGCAGCAAACTGGGCTTCACCACTTGTGGGCAAGGATAGAAGCATTGGTCCCTTTCTACTTCTTATCCTAGAGAGGAAAAAGCTCCCTGTCGATGATGAGAACCACGAGAAGGATGATCCCGAACGGTGAAACAAATCCCGGCGGTGCATATGGGATTCTCATCTCTTCGATCCCGGCTGACAATCGTCGTGGAAGTCGCGCAGTGTGAAGTGAGGCATGTTTGTTTGCCCCTTGATCATCGGCAATCTTGTTGGACTGGATTAATCGAATGTTATCTCACACCTCTATCGCGGGGCTGCTTGTGATGACAGCAATCGCAATCGCCTTTCTCTTTATTATTCTTGAGCGGGTTGGAAGCTCCTCAGGTTTTCGCGGCATGTGCCCTTTCGCAATCAGTTGGGAACAGGGGACGAGCCGCCATTTCCACCACCAGCACCGCTCTCTCCACTCTTTCTAACGTCCTTTTGTTCCTGAATAATCCGGTCGTTACTCAGAGCGCTTTTGTCGCATTGTACCATACATTTTATACTCCATGATTCAGCTTCCTTTGCTCGGCCTTTGCGTTCACATTGTGTGAAGTTGCGGAAGGGGTATTTGACATGCGGGACATTGCTTTTATATCTCCACTTAAATGCTCTGTTTCAACGCAGAGAAGAGAGTGTGTGCCTCCGAGAAATGCCAGATTCCACTCCGAGGTTCGCGCCTAGGCAAGCGTAAGATGACCGTCTAGAACTCGGTCCATCATTCCCTGGTCCCATTTTAGCAGAGGTTTGCCGGGACCTATTTCTATTCAAGCGACCGCAGTTGACCCTTGAAGTCCGCCCCATCATTTTTAATTTATGATGTGGGCTCTCAATAGCCCTTATGATTATTTCCCTGAATGCCAACCCTCCTTTAGCACAACCATCCGTCTGGTCCCTCACCCTAGTCCCGCCTGATCTACAATGTCTATTTCGACGGACCTCTATAATAAGACTACTATGCGCTATCGTTCTCTCGTCCTTTTACCCAAGAAGTTCGAGAAGTTCTCATTTCGCGAATCCCCGAACTCAGCCCTAAAACTTCATTTAATGAGCACCAGCCCTGATATAACTCCCGAGGAATAACTACCTTGGCCTTTTGACGTGCCCAGCTCACTCATTGTCTGGCGCGGGGCGTCTGATTTTTATTCTTTTATTTTACAAACTGAAATTGCATGATTCCCACCAAATCGCGACCCCTCTCACTACTTAACTCTTTCCTCGCGCTGAATGCACCTCAAAAGGAGAAAAGTCCAGCCATCCAGACCTTTTAGAAACGAAGAATCCAAAACAAAGACCGGAATTTCCTTTTCAAATCTACAGCGCTTTCGCGCTGATTCTACAATACGATTTACTTACGAATCATCAGGCAGCCTGCTAGGGCTTGATAGCTCTAGCAGCGCCGATATACAACCGTGACGCTGGCGGATCCATATCGGGATTATCAGATTGATTATTCGGCACAAGAGCAGTCGAAGGCTCAGGAACAACAAAGTCAACTGGTTTACCAAGCAAATCAACAATCTACAACGGCACTTCATCATGCGGCGAGGTCTGATGTTGCCTTCCTCTCAGGTGGCCAGCATCATCAATCCTTTCAGCAGCCGCAACAACAGCAACCATCCCATCACCACCACCAGCAAGCGTCGCCGCCTCAGCGGCAACAGCAACAGCACGGACAACACGGGCAGCCGGGCGTTGTTGCGTTGTCCTCTGCAGGATCCCATAACGCTGTACGCGACATCCAACCACCTGTCTTACTCCCCGCGCAGATGGTAGCACCCCAGCTTCCACCTCACTTTAACACCGGCCCGCTCCACCTACCATCATATGCGAGTAAGCGACACGGGTCGAAAAGGGCGCGCATCGATGAAGGGTCTGGTGAACCAGGTGATGATCACACAGCAGGACTCAGTCTTTCAATGCTCTCGGATACATCTCACGGGGATGAGCGGCAGTCCACCGATATGCTCTTGTCTGCGCAATCAGATCCCACATCGCACCACCAGCCTCCATCTCAACACGAATACCAACAGACGCCCTCGCTGCACCAGCAACACCACCATCACCATCGATTGCCTTCTCAAGCCACTCTCGTAGGCGCCCAGCGCTCCGATGCAGAATTGACATCACCTGGGGGAGTATCTGGGCCTCCAAGCGTGGTTGGCCAACCAGGGATGCCGGATCCCGCACCACGACCGCGAGGGCCCAAACTAAAATTTACCCCGGAAGAGGATGCCCTGCTGGTAGAGCTGAAGGAAAATAAAAACCTAACATGGAAGCAAATCGCTGATTTCTTTCCCGGTCGGACCAGCGGCACATTGCAGGTTCGCTACTGCACCAAATTGAAAGCCAAGGCAACGGTCTGGACGGATGAGATGGTACGACTGTCATTTTCTGCTTGTAATCAGGCACTGCCAGTCACTTGTGAAGACAACTGGTTACGGGTTGGGCTAACATCCCTCATAGGTACAACGGTTGCGTAACGCGATCCACGAGTACGAAAATGACCGCTGGCGTGTGATCGCGAATAAAGTTGGAAGTGGGTTCTCACCTGCAGCCTGTCGAGACAAAGCCACAGAATTATAGCAGAAAATCATCGCGGAAATCTCCCTGCTTTTGGCCCCACTTAAGAGATAATTCTAGGATACGGTGAGGGTTTTCTTCCCGTGGCTATGTACGATGTGGAGGTGTACGTCTGCTTTTGCTTTGTCGGAGTAGTTACGTTGTTCCCTGTTTGCTCCCTCAGCCTTGTTGTTACAGCGTTCGCAGAGAAAATTCTATCGGTTCTTCCATATGACTTCGACTTAATACCGCCAACCCCTGTTAGTTTCTCCTCCTGCTGCTATCCCTGGACCGAAAACGAAAAGATAAAGGAAAAATGGGGATGACGACAGGTTCAAGACTGACCCGATATAGCCTGAGGGCGTACGAGAACATTGACCTAGAAAGGAGAAAAAATAAAGAAAAGAAAATTGCTAGAGTGAAAACTTTTATATTGGCGCGTGCTGGAAATCCAAAACATTAATATAGCGGCGACTCCCAAAAGTCACACACGGATCACAAATTACTTTCCTTAGCATCGCGAATCCCCCATCTGCCGCGAACGAACTGTACCCGTTTGTTCTGTCTTAGGGCGTCTGTGACTATCCTCCGGCTGCTCTGCTTGTCTTATCTACTTTTGTTTCGGCTGATGATACTTCCTGGGTGAATTGGATTGGTTAACGTTTGGCATTGCACAACAATGATACCCAATTTTTTACTTTCTTATCTGTCATTTATCCGGTAGGGCGGGATGGGGGCTTTTTACTTTATTTATGATTTCCCAACTGATGACACTCGTTAATAACTAGTTCCTAATGTCTTTTTTTTGATGTGGATCGGGATTCTGTAGGTTAAGTTAAATGGTTCTGAGGGAAATCAGGAATGGGGCGAGGTTTATATATTTCGAAACGTTCATTCTTTATTGGTTTTTGATTGATCTTCACGTCTTGCACGGTGTGAATATTCTGCGACTATGCTGGCTAGCGATTTTCTTGTCCTCGCATTTCTCATATTTTTCAGGCAGAAATGTAGAATAGGAGCGTTTAGGTCCTAGGGATAAGACGGCTTGTGATGAATATCCAAGGTCTTTGCTATGGATTCTATTTCATATGGGAATCATTTTCTTGGTGTGCCATCATGGCCTGTCATTTTGTTTGGTACGGGTGTCGCTGTTGAGTGTGCATAAGGATACTGACAGAGTGTCTAGCAAAGAGGCTGAGGCTACTCCGAGGCTGAATATGGAGAAGTGAAAAACGCGTAGGAGAATTGTCAACACAGAAACGACCGTTTCCCGACTGTCCAACCTATGTGTATGCGGCTTTGTGTAGTTTTCATTCCCCTGTTCATTTATGTAGTCCCGGTGGTCTCCTGTACTCCCCGAAGTCTCACCGATTCTTTATGCATATAGAAAGGCGTTTTGTTGTGACATCGTAATGTGAGCCACGTTAGCAATTCTGCGAAAAGGTTACACACAAAAAGGCTACCAGGGAAAGGGAAACTAAGAGTTGCCTCTCGAGGGTGGAAGAGAAGAAGGAGTCTTATTCCAATTCCATTCCATAACAAACGTCGGTGGGTTCCCCTCTTGGAGTCTGGATGGAGGTTATTTGAGTCAAGAAAGGGAACAGGGCTAACCCTAACGGAACCCAACTTGGCAAGAACTAAAATCGACCAATTAGGGTAAATATAAATCACATGATACCCAAGCATAGTTTAGCGGATAATGACTAATCATCTTGGATCCATGGACGATCCGGTTGGTTGCTTGAGGTCCAACGTCAACTTCAAACTCATACCTCAAATACCACCATTACACCACCTCACCCTTCAAACCACAACCACCACCTTTTCCAAGCCCCATTGGCAGTCGGAATAATGTTTGCTCATCGAACTGCCTTCACTCTCGCCCGGCGTACCCCCATTAGGGCTCTTGCCAGGCGGTCTTTTTCCGCATCAGTCATCCGACGTATGCGCCCGCGTTTCGATTTTCTCCATTCCGTTTTCACATTGTCGCCCAATTTGTGTTCCAACGACTTTTCAACAACGCTCAATTCTTAAAAGCGCTTTTTGGTCTCGTGAATTTTCGAACTGATTGCTAATTTTCCACCTTCATTCTTTTCCAGGCGATGCTGGGAAGCCGGCCACGTCGAAATGGGACCCTAAGCCCGGAGAGCCTGTAGGCAAGCTTGTTTCATTCGAGGGTTAGTCAACGGATTTTCGTCTGCTCTAAACTCGTCCATCTTTATCTCGATTAGGTGTTCGGCATCGTATACTAGTTTATGGGCAATTGATTCATTTGATCGTACAGCTACAGCTGTTGTCAATTGCCCAAACCTGATCGGAATAACATTACACATGACACTTGGGAAACAAACTCTGACTGTTTTAACATAGATATCGCGGAACAAACCGACCTTCTACCTCCCGGTGCGAAGCCCGGAACCATGCCCACAGACTACGAACAGGCAACCGGCTTGGAAAGATTGGAACTTCTAGGAAAAATGCATGGAATTGATGTTTTCGATATGCGACCGCTTGATTCGTCGAGAATGGGTGTGTGGCTTCCGGTGCCTTTTATTCCGTATCTCATTCAAACATGCAATCCTGGCTAGTGAAGTTGAGACTGCGGGTAATATTTGGGACTGAACCCATATACAAATTTTGGCAGGAACCTTAAATGACCCGATCATCGTCAAATCTGGTGGAAATGAGCAATACGCCGGCTGCACTGGATACCCCGCGGACTCCCATTCTGTCGTGTGGCTCACGGTAAGGACCATTTCAATTAGAGTTCCATTCTCCATCCATGCACTTTTCCATTTGGGTCATACGGCGGTGACTTATCTGATACGTATTCTAGGTATCCCGCGATCGACCAATCGAGCGATGCTCAGAGTGTGGAAACGTCGTTAAGATGGAATATGTTGGACCTGAGAACGATCCCCATGCTCATCACGGTACGTGGGCTTGTTCATTACATAAATCATGATTTGACTTGTCAATTTGTGAATGATGCATATTCTTCAAATATGTATTCGGATGTATCACAATGCTGACGTATATACGTTTAGATGAACACCACCATGCTCACGAAGATATAAAGACTATGGCTGACTTTGTCAAGCCCGAGTACTGGTATAAATAAATAAATACCTGAGCGTCTTTGAGAGAATGAGGAAATGCTTTTGACATTGTCTGCCTACTTTCGAAATATGAAGTCACATATTGACCTTATGTAGAACATGTCAAAAAAACAATATTTTACCAATTCTGTTCTCTCATCATCTCAACACACATACGCATGGCGAACCCCGTCTCTCTCTCTGTATATTTCTCATTTGCATTCTTACCTTATTGCGATCGCGTGGGTCACATACCGACTCTACTCAATCTCCCAGCTGACATTTTCTTTTCATTTCCTCATGTAGATTAATGTAGCTTTTACAACATGAACAAAGAGGGGATCTTTTGTTTCTTTTCTTTTCTTTTCTTTCTTTTTTCTTTTTTCTTTTTCTTTTTCTTTTTCTTTTTTTTTTTTTTTTTGACCATTGATGGAGGTGGAAGGATGGTTGGTTGTACAACAGGGCACCAGCAACCGTGGATATTGAGGCATTTGATAGTCTAGATGCTTTCAATTTACTTTCAGGTATTACATGTTGGCCCGTACAGCCAAATGGCCTGCAAAGTAAAAGTACAAATTAATTAATTCATTATCTAATTTTGGCATCAGCTCTGCTCCCTTCAACCTCGTTTCTACTTCATTCGATTTACATTCTGAGTACCAAGGTCTTTTCGAACCGCACATTCAATTATCTGTGATCACTAGGCATTGTTGGAAATTATCCTAATTGTCAGTTCACACATTCCTCAATACAAGTTATTTGATTTGATCAGACAACTTGTTCAAGACACTCAAAACACCCTATAGATGTGCACAGATCCATGCATTTATTCACATACCTCCCCTGTCTCTGATAGAATATGTCTGTCACAGTCAACAATCCTGTCTCTCCCTGTACTGATTTTGGGTCTCCTTCAGTTCGCCCCAGAGTAGCATGAACATAGCTTTGATCGCCAGTTCACGTTTTACAAAAAGCTTCTCACTCTACCAAGATAACTATGGATCGTTGAAGGATGCATGTTCAGGTTCAATGGTTTTCTTGTTCGCTCTCAGATTCTTCGCCTATGTCCCTTGATTATTTCAGTCTTCGTGCCCCTTTTCTTCGGAAAAACAGTTAACGGTCAACCTCCAAGACGTAACTATTATGAGTCATAACGCTCCTTTTACATCCATTCCCACCCTCTCTTTGGGAGATAAGTTCTTTTTGGCCGCTTCAACCTAATGTAGGGGATGAATTTGAGTGGACCAAAATAGGAGCTGGATGTCAAAAGTCGGTTCTTTTATTGCTTTCCCAATATTCTCTCTCTCTCTCTCTCTCTCTCTCTCTCTCTCTCTTGAGATTTCCAACCCTCACCATGACAAAGGGCGACTTTGTTTCTTCTCCCCGCACAGGGGAGTTGTATTCATTGTGGCAATGGGCTGGGAAGTGCCTTGCTCCGCTCTTGCAGTTGGGGTTGGTGCACATCATAGCATATTCGTCTCCCCACACGTACGTAAATATATTACCTAAATAAGTACAATCGTACGTTAGTTGCATATCAACGGTGTGGAAATGTAACTGCTTCCTTGGCAAAAGTTGGAAGATACCGTCAGTATGGACAGATTAATGCTGGAGAACCTAATGTGTTGTTGATCACGTCCTAAGGGACGCCTGATATCCAAAGGTTCTCCATTTGACGAAAGGGCTATTCACACGATGTTACTGCTCTCAGAGGACAGTGAAGACTGAAATTGTTGAATCAAACATCAGCGGAGATGTGGTGGGATGAATTGTGCGCTATGTAGCAATACCACAAGACAATAGGTCATGGTTACATGCTAGTACCTATGATTCCCCATCCCAGCCGGCCATATCACTGTTCATCTCTAGTGCAAAATTAAAATTTCCTGAAAGCTAGCGCAGTTTGCGACAGACCACTATCAACGGCGTTGACGAAATGGACCACATTTCTCACGGTCGAGGAATGTCTAGCTCGTTGAAAAAGTAGAAAATTTGTGGACGTATACATATTGGGTTCCGGAGAGTAGCACCCCATTCCTGTTGGACTACCGGAGCCAAGGCTACGGAGAACGGAAAATAACCACCTCCCCCTGTTTTAAGCACAACCCATTCAGCGAAATCAAACAGCTGCCGCAGATATCGCTGAAGAAACTAGGAGAAGCGTGGGGATCAAGGCTTACCGGGGACGGAACGGCCGATATTTTGGAGATAGTAAAACACGCACCGCGACACAATCAGCAGAATCAGAGAGCAACATCTTTTAAAGTGCTGTGCCGTTGTGCTATCTGCTCGGGTAACTTCTTGAACAAAAAGACGGAAAACGGTGCGAACAAGTGCCACGCAGCCTGATTGAACAGGAAACATTCCAATGCATACACAACAGCTAGTAGAGTATATCCATACCCGAACGAATAGGGACAGACGAGTATCAGCGGCTGATGGTAGGAGTGGTACGAAGTAGGATGCGGATGTTCAACTCGGGTTGGCAGAACGATGATGAAAATACGCAAAGCAAAAAAAAGCAAGTCCTTTCAGAATATGCACTCGGTAGACACGCGTAAGCGAGTAGACATGGATGACGGAACGAAATACTCCACAAGCAGGCTGGCTAACAGGAACTTGACGCCCTCGGGTGGTATAGAAGGAGGAAACATCTGGAATTAAACTGCAATTAGGGTTGAATTTTGTAGTCATATGTTCGGTCAAGCATTCCCGGCAAATCATCCAGTGTCTCAAAATAATACATCATCAGGTAGTCTAGGAAACCCCCTTTTATCCAGTGGTGGTTTAGGAGGAAACCTAAGGAGCATATTTTCAGTATCTCAGGTCGTGTCTACACGATTATTTTCTGATTGCCCACGAGGATAAATAATCGAGATTGCGGGACAGAGAAGACTAAACCTTGATCGATCTCGCCTTCAAAGCTCAAGACGAATAATAACTAATCGTGAGTGATAACTAAACAGATTCTTGAAACAAGAATATTATCGTATCTATTGAAGCTTTGAAGGGTTGATTCGGATTGGCCGGACTAAAAGCCTGGTTGCGCAAACTGACAACACAGAAAGTGCTATTCGCAGGTAAGCAATGGGATCTAGCTTCGTGGTTCGGAAGCACCGAATTCCGAGAGAAAACTGCAACGCAAACTTTAGAGAGGATGGCCAGGCGAATGAAGAGTCGTTGACTCACAACCTGTCGGCGGGGAAGGTATTGCGAATGGTAAGTCGTCGTTCCTGGAACGATATCACTGGGGTATATTAGGACGATTGAGGGGAACACACCCACCATCTTTGCAAATGTTGGTGAGGCACAGAGGGAAAATGCGGCAAAAGCAGTAGAAAGATACACCAAGAAAGGGCAATTCTTGTCCTCCCGCACATGGAGCACAGAATCATACATTCATGCTTGCGGCCAGTGTAGTTTTATCCAACCAAGGCTTCAGGTGTCTTTGACACAAGCAAGCATCCACCGGGTTGCATCCGGTGAATATACCTGCAGCAAATGTAGCAGCACCTGTAAAAGCAGCTAGTTAATAGATAGCAAATAACATAGCAAAATGTGACGAGTGAAGCTGCATGGCGATACTTCTTCTCCCGTTGGCGGTCTATTCGCTACAGACCGTACCAATATTATGTTCGGTGTAGCACGTCTGTAATGGTTAAATCAGGATAGATTCCTGATGTTTCCTTGCCCTGACAGAGTATGTGAATTGGTCTACCTCTTTGACGACGACAAGGTGGTCGTTGAGAGAACCCAACGAATCTCCCCCGACGAAAGGGAAATAGCAAAACGAAAATAACGACGCGCGCTGTGTCGGAGTGCTGAAACAGTTTTTACTAAATAACGCCTCAGATGAAGGAAAGGATTACTAAGAACCAATGTAGATAGATACATCCCTCAAAATTGAGGAGCGCAAGATCAAAATCGTCCAACCAACTGGGCCGCCAAGTGTAGAAAATCATGAGAAATAAATAAAAATTAAAAGCAAAAGCAAAAGGAGATGTTTTATACTGAATGTTCGTCAATGAAATGAATGAATTGCGGTTGACCGCTCGTCT